ATCTTTACCTCTTGTTTGGCATCTTGCCAACACTAATGCCATCTTGGCATGAAGAAGGCTTTTCTAACTATGAAATCAAAACTCAGGTAGGAAAAAAAGAAATTGATACTTTCAAGTGCATTAAAAAGTAGAGAAAAAAATTGTAAGCACCCTTTTAAGAAGACTGAGCAAATGACAGCATTTGACAGATAAAGGGCAAGTTTCCTCCTATAGAAAGATCTAATACTATTCAATATGAAAAAGGCAGCCAACTCGTGTCGAGAGGACCTGAACAGCTAGCTTATAGAAGAGGAAATATGAATGGCCAGCGAACATCAAAGGATGCTCAACTGAAATGCAAATTCAAATGCAACATCTAGCCAAGCAGTCATGAAGGAGGGAAATCTGGACAACTTAGACTACCAAATACCTAGCTGTAACAATTAAGATAATATGGTACTGGCACGTGGGTAGACAAATAGACCAACGGAGCAAAACAGTCCAGAAGCAGACTGACACATACACTGTCACCTGCTCCCGTCTCATTAAAAATAAATAAATAAATAAAAATAAAGCTATGACATTACTAGGTGGTAGGAATTTTTCAGCTCTATTATAATCTATCTTATTGGACTACATTTTTATATGTGGTCTATCGTTGACTGACATGTTATGTGGCACATGACTGTAATGGCTTTGATTCTGAATGGTTTTTCTCCAAGGGAACTCAACCATTTTGGTATAGAAGTAGATAAGGTTAAAGGAAAGAATTGTTAGCTGAGCATGGTGGTGTGTGTCTGTAGTCCTAGCTCCTCGGGAGGCTGATGCAGGAGGATTGCCTGAGTCCAGTAGTTGGAGTCTGTAGTATGCTATGATTGATCACATCTGTGAATCATAGCCACCGTGCTCCAGCCTGGAGCAATACAGACCATGTGTCTTAAAAAGAAAAAAGAGGGAAAAAAAAAAGAATTGCAGAACTGTATACAAAGTAAGTGAAAGCAAATAGAGTGAGGGGCTGAGTTCTTTAAAGAATAAAGTTTATGATCTTTTAACTGTTGAATGTTCTATTTTGTGTCCTTTTCCAAATACGAAATGTGTTATAGAGTTTTTTTTTTTTTTTTGAGACAGAGTCTCACTGTGTTGCCCCGACTAGAGTGCCGTGGCATCATCCTAGCTCACAGCAACCTCAAACTCCTGGGCTCAAGCAATCCTCCTGCTCAGCCTCCTGGGTAGCTGGGACTACAGGCATGCGCCACCATACCCAACCAATTTTTTATATATATTTTTTTAGTTGTCCAGCTAATTCCTTTCTATTTTTTTAGTAGAGACAGGATCTCGCACTTGCTCAGGCTGATTTGGGTTTTTTTTTATTATTATTACTGTAAGACTCATGCTGAAAACTGTATTAAGTCCTATTTTACGATTAGAGTTAATTTTTTCTTTTTCTGTGTGTATTTCTGCTGTATAGCTATATACAGCCTCAACCAATATTCTGAGAATCT